TTAAATTTTAATTTTGAGTAGCGTGGCCTAAAAAGGTGATATAATTTTTTTAAGAAACTTCGATTTGAAAACATTTTTTAGACTTTATATTTACCATTAAAAATCCAATTGGACAAATTACAAGAATAAAACACATTCAAAAATTGTTAACCAGATCAGTTCTGGGTTCAACCTAACAAGGAAATCGCTAGCAAAACATCACTTTTTATACCCTCCACCATAGCATGGAGGGTGCATTAAGTTTGTCATTCCGTTTGTAACACCTCGAAATATACATTTTAGACCCCTTGACGATTTAGCGATGTCCGCCCGTCCGTCCGTCTGTGGAAATCACTCTAGCTTTCGAACGAATTGAAGTACATTGATAAAATGTCACTCAAATGTATATTATGTCTGTAGGACTTTTGGTATTGAAAATGGATCATGTAGGTCTACGTTTTGGTATAGTCCCCATATAACGGTACCTCCCGATATTCGGTATTTTGATGATTTTAGCGACATTATTCGCCAGAATTGTTTCAAATTTGGTATTTGAAGTTTGTAATGGATACTACAGCCTAAGACAGAAAATAGTCTGAGCAGGTCAACGTCTTCTTATAGCTCCCATATAACGGTACCTCCCGATATTAGGGTATTTTGATGATTTTAGCGATATTATTCACCGGAATTGTTTCAAATTCGGTATTTGAAGCTCGTAATGGATACTACAGCCCAAGACAGGAGATTGTCTGTGCAGGTCCACGTCTTCGTATAGCCCCCATATAACGGCTCCTCCTGATATTCGGTATTTTGATGATTCTAGCGCCATTATTCACCGGAATTGTTTCAATTTTGGTATTTGAAGTTTGTAATGGATACTACAGCCTATGACAGAAAATTGCCTAGGTAGGTCCAGGTATTCGTATGGCCCCCATATAACGGTACCTCCAGATATTCGGTTTTTTGATGCGGCATTATTCACCAAAATTGTTTCAATTTTGGTATTTGAAGTTTGTAATGGATACTACAGCCTATGACTGAAAATTGCCTAGGCAGGTCCAGGTAATTGTATAGCCCCCATATAATGCTACCTACAGATATTCGGTATTTTGATGATTTTAGCTACATTATTCACCGATTTTTTTAAGTTTCGTATTTGAATATTGTAATAGCTTTTGACAAAAGTTGCCTATGCAGGTCCACGTCGTCGTATAGACGCTAATTCGGTATTTTTAAGATTTTAACAGAATTTTTAATAGATTTTTTTGTTTTTTGAGAATTGTCAAATTAGTTCCAAATGGTGGAGGGTATTCAAAGTTCGGTCCGGCAGAACTTACAGCTTTTTTACTTGTTTAATAATAGGCTTCCATTGCAAGATTTCATTCGTAAGCAGTAGTTAGCCACTTCCCAATGCCCAATGCGATGGACGATTTATCGAACATACAACCGAGATGGGCTGGTTGTTATTGTTGTTAGTTTATGATGATAGAAAATCGAAAGAAAAAAAACAAGATGCAACAATTACCACAGCATTGCATTGAATAGGAGCGCTATATAGACAGCAGACGAAAATTATATAAGCTTTGTTTGCAAGAAAAAAAAAACAACAAAACAACGGGTCAGCAGAAGGAAGCTTCGCCACTTTTTTATTTCTTCTTTGAACATCCGAGTAACATTTCAAACGATGAAAAAATTAAATGTTTGCAACTACCAAAGCATTGGTGTTATTGCGTCTGTTTTATGTAAATTATGATTGGAATGTGGAGATGCTGGTGTTTAGATGAATGTATTTGTTTCGACTTCCATAAGAGGCAACTTGAACTGCATTCGAAGATCACAACAACGGATGTTACATTAATGGAGATCTATTGAGGTGTATGTGACTATTTTTTTTCAGGATTTATGGAAGTTTAAAAGATTCGATTTTTCTTTAAAAATCAACATAAAAACAAAAAAGGATTTTTGGCAACACGTTTGAGATCTCCAATCAAGAACGTAATTTTTTCCTTGAAAAGAACAAAAAAAAATCTTACACAAAAATGGTGAAATAAATTACTATAGCATAGTACGCTGTAGGTAACGGTTAAATCAATCTTGAGCCCCGGAAAAAACAGGAGGGGACCTTAACGACATAACGATGACCGATCTAAAGAGTTGCGCTAGATGCTTTAACCGACAATATGTCGAGCACCCCAAGAGCCACGAGGCAAAGCGATGAGTACAAGGTCGTATCAGATCTCTTTCCGTCGAGGAGGCACCACCATAATTTGCGATGGGTGATGTTGAAAATGTCATTCGAAACGCTAAGTCACCCAAAAGCGTTAGACCCAGAGGGAATATTAATGGTAATGTTGAAACAACTGCATTCGCCGGATGTTGAGTACCCGGTAAAAGTTAACAACCTGTCGCTAGCCACCCACATCGTTCCCGAAACCTGGACAATGGGCCGCTACTGACACCAGGCAAGGATGCCAGCAAAGGCGAATTAAACCGTCCCATTTTCCTTTTGTCGCTTGGCCGAAAGTGGTGAACTGCCGAATTTGGTTTTCCCCGATGAGGAAACATTCGTTGTCCAGTAGTTTGTAAACAAACAAAATGAGTTTGCTTGCCAAAGAGGTCAGCTGAAAATGTACACCTTCGGTTGGCCACCAGAACTCAAGCCCTGGCCATGGTGATGGTGTGGGCCGCCATAACAGCCGATGGTCGCTCTCGCACGTATTAATCGACCGTAGCATCAGAATAAATGCCGAATATTATTCGGGTAGCGTGTGACGGTTTCATTGGCCGTTTAAAGGCCATTATTCGTGCCAAAGGTGACCAATTCGAACAAATCTAAATTTATTCTAAAATTTGAGACTATTTCCGAATTTTTTTGCTTTCATTCAATATAATTAAAAAACACAAGTAAAAAAGCAGATAAGTTCGGCCGAGACGAACTTTTAATATCCTCCACAATTTCGAAGGAACTTGAAGAATTTCAAAAAAAAAAAATCGAAAACTACAGCTTAAATGAAAACCGTCATATGGGGGCTATACGAAAACGTGAACCTGCATACGAAAATGTTTGCCATAAGGTGTAGTACCCATTAAGATCTTTCAATACGAAATTTGAAACGATTCCGCAGAATAAAATTGCTGAAATCGTCAAAATACCGACTATCAGGAAGTACCGTTATATGGGGGCTATACGAAAATTTGGACCTATATACGACATTTTTTGCCATAGGTTGTAGTACCCACTAGGATCTTCTACTACGAAATTTGAAACTATTCCGGTGAATAATGTTGTTAAAATTATCAAAATACCGAATATCGGTAGGTACCGTTATATGGGGGGTATCGAAAATTTGGACCTGCATACAAAAATGTTTGTCATAGACTGTAGCACCCATTACGAACTTCAAATACGAAATTTTAAATAATTCCGGTAAATAATATCACTAATATCATGAAAATACTGAAAATCGGGAGGTACCGTTATAGTAGGGCTATACGAAAAAGTGGACCGAAATGGCCCATTTACGAACAGCCTACTGGTAAACTATGCATGTATGCAAAATTTTAACTGGCTATCTCAATTCGTTCGAAAGATAGCGTGATTACAACAAACAGACTGACAGACACACAGACAGACATCGCTAGATCGTCTTAGAATTTTACTCTGATCCAGAATATATATACATTGTTGTTTGAGTTACAAACGAAATAACAAAGTTAATATACCCTCCACAGAATGGTGGAGGGTATAAAAATGTAAAAAATGTAAAAAAATGTATGGCGTTCGAATTTGTTGCAGTTTTTTATCTCACCCTGTATATGTACAAGAAATTGGTGTTAGTTATTCCGTTTATAAATCAAGAACCGCTGGACTGATTTTGACAATTCTCACTAATTCCAAATGGCCTCTGGCTAAAAAATCATAGAATTTAAGATAAATACGCCAATAAAAATGAAATTATTTTTTGTCAATATTTTATCGCTATTTTTTCGAATTTGACTTACAATTTTGAATTGTATATTTTCAAAAACTTTTCTACACCATACAACAATATGTGTTGAAGGTATTATATGCAGGTTGCAATTATCGTCCGATCCTCACGATATGTTGCATAGGTTAGGGGTAGGGCCAGAATTAAAGCCTATTGTTTTTAAATATGTACATTTACGGGTTCAAATGGACCAAAAATCGGATTTTTTCATGAGAAGAATATTAAGGATGGGGAAGAAGTCTCGCATTTTAGATGACCATTGGATTATATTTAACTGTAAAATGGACCACAACTTTCGTGTGAAATTGTTTTGAACACCTTACATCACGATGGAGTGCGTAAATATTGGGTAAATGCCCCCGGTCTGGGCATTATTTCAAAGACAAAATCTTCCAAAACGGATTCGGACATAATTGGGCTTCCAACATATTGTAGTGTTGTAGAGTTATAGCTTTTGCTTACTTAGCTATTATTAGAAAACTAACAAACCTTTATACCCAACCATTCAGCAACTTCAATGTCTGAGAAAACAAAACCATTTTAATTTACTTGAAAAATTGTCTGCACTTAAAAAGGGTTCAGTTCGAAAACGAAAAACAAAAGACTTAAGCAACAAACCTCCCCAAAATGATCTCCACCTTTGACATGTTCGAGAGTAGCTTTTCAAAACTCAATGCAAAACCATTCATAAAATCTGCATGGTGTTGTTTTACTACGACATTTTAGTACTATTTTAGTACTAAATTAAAGAGAACCAAAGAGCACATCCAACTCTCACTTCTTTTTGTGCAAATTTGCTTGTTGTTGGCTCAAAACTTGTTCTTTGAAATTTTGTTGGAAAACCATGGCTGCTCGCGAGATATTTAACACCTGCCTAGGCGGCTATACCACGAGCGTTGGCACAACACAAGACGAAGAGAAAAAGAGTATTGTGTGCTCAGACATAGTAGCGTTTAGTTGTTGCTGCCACCATCTCATATCGCCTGTGCTCCAAATGATGCTTTGTGGTTATGTTGAAGTTTCAGTTATAGAGCGACTGTGGTACGTGGTGGTACGTTTCAAAACAAGTTAACGGATAGTAACGACTGAATTGGATTTTTTTTGTTGTGTCTGTGTGTTTTGTTTTGGGCCTTTGCAAAGCTTAACCACCAGGTTGCTACTGTTGGCTAGCCGGTCGGGTTGTATACCTTCAAGTTGCGTTTAACGTTACTCTATTTGGGCCTTCGATGTGGCACTGGTGGCAGTTCTGAGCCATAACGCATTGCAGTGCGCAGACTTGTTTGTCTGCATTTTTGTAACTCTTCGCCAGGCAATAACAGCAACAACACCAAAAGACACAATCAAGACAACTTTCGTGACGCGTCTGCGCTTCTCGGTAATAGAAATTATCTTCTTTGGCAGTACTCCATTTTTTTTTGGTTCGTTCATGTTTAAATAGAATTTTAAAACGAAAAATAAAAAAGAAAAAATCATAAAGAAAAATCTCTAAACTTGAATGAAGGGAGAAGAAAGAAACCAACCTCATTAAAAGAGTGGGAATTTCTTCTCCATAAAGAAAGAATCGTAATTATAAGCAGTAATAAGTGCACGCCACCAGAAAAAAAAATGTGGAACAAAATTTAAATAAATTTTCAAGAAAAAGAAATATTTAAAAATTGCAAAAATAAAATTAATAGATTTGTTCAATTTCAGTTTTTAGAATTTTTTGTGTGTGCGACATCTAACAAATATCTACAAAACCAAAAAACAAAAAAAAAAACCAACAGCATAGCAGCATTCAAGGTGAGTTCAACCAAATAGAATCATATTGAAATAGCCAAATCGAGTCTTGTGAACAAAAAATGGTTTTTATAAAAATACTACCTTCAAAAAAAACTTGTTCTTCTATTCTTGTGAAATTATGAATGCTTTTGATTTATGAATGCATATAATTTGGTTTCAAATAAAATGCTTTTTGGTTATTTTGGTAATACCCCCCCATACAAAAAACCTCAAACATGTGAGTCAAATTCTAGTTTTTGGTAATCGAGAAAGAAAGGAAGAAATAAAACAATTTTATGTACATGTTTTACAAAATCAAGAGATTTGATGGGATTTAATTTTTTTACAATATCGTTTATCGTTCGGTCACTCTCCTTCAGCCTTGCAACTTGTTTTACCAGCTTTCCAATTTCCCTCCATAAAAAGTTTGATTACTTGCACCCTAGTGGTGTAGGAAGGACTGATTTGTTCGTTATGGCATACGTTTTTAGCACATGGGCAATAATGGTACAAGGTCCGTCAACGGATTTTAAACGCTTTTCGAAGAGATACAAATTTATAACCATGGACCATGTCGTGTGCGAAAACCACCTTCTTAAGATCTATCATGATCATAGCAAAAATTATATTTTCGATCGAATTTTTCTACATTTTAAAGAAAAATGAAATTTCTTAGTTACTCCTCTAAATGTTCGTCGTCGACTCTATAAAGTATTCCATATATAAAAATCTATATCCATAAAAGAGGAAAATGTTTGTATGTTTTTTATACCCTCCACCCTACATTAACTTTGTCATTCCGTTTGTAACTCCTCGAAATACTCATGTCAGATCCCACAAAGTATATATATTCTTGATCAGCGTAAAATTCTAAGTCGATTAAGCGTTGCCCGTCTGTCTGTCTGTGTGTTGTAATCACGCTATCTTTCGAACGAATTAAGATAGAAGGCAAAAATTTTGCACACATATTTATTTTTCCAGTAGGCAGGCTGAGTTCGTAAATGGGCCATGTAGGTCCACGTTTTAATATAGCCCCCATATAACGGTACTTCCCGATATTCGGTATTTTGATAATTTTAGCGACATTATTCACCGAAATTGTTTCAAATTAAGTATTTGAAGTTCGAAATGGATACTACAGCCTAAGACAGAAAATTATCTGTGCAGGTCCACATCTTCGTATAGCCCCCATACAACGGTACCTCCCGATATTCGGTATTTTGATGATTTTAGCGACATTATTCAACGGAATTGTTTCAAATTTGGTATTTGAAGTTCGATATGGATACTACAGCTTATGACAGAAAATTATCTGTGCAGGTCTAGGTCTAGGTCTCATTGACCCACAACATGTTTGCAATGATATTAGGCTAACAGTAAAAAACTACACAACAATTTAATTAAGGATACCACGATAAAGTTCAGGGTGAGATAAAAAATCTGCAACAAAGTCAAAATCCATAATTCTTATTTTTTTTTTTTTTTTTTTTGTAATTTTATTGAATAAAAGCAAAAAAAAAATCGGAAATAGCATCAAATTTTAGAATAAGTTAAAATTTGTTCGAATTTGTCAACTTTGGCACGAATTATGGCCTTCCAACGGCCAATGAAACCATTACACGCTGCCCTAATGTTGTTCTGCCGTATTTTGGCCCATTCCCGGTGAAGCGCTTGATTGAGGTTGAGACATAAAAGTCCATCGGATTGCGATCCGGAGATTTTGGTTACCATTGTGCGCTGGAAATTAAGCGATGAATCTCATTTTGTAATCATGCTTTGGTGGTGCGTGCTGAGTGCGATGGTGCTGAGTCCTGTTGGAATGTCCAAAGTCTGCGGCCAAAATGTTTGCGTACCCAAGGCTTTAATACACCCTCCAGAATATTTTCGGGATAATATTCGGTATTTTTTCTGATGCCACGGTCGCTTAATACGAGCGGAGAGCGATCATCGGCTGTTATGGCGGCCCACACCATCACCATGGCCAGCGCTTGAGTTCTGGTAGCCAACCGAAGGTGTGCATTTTCTGCTGACCTCTTTGGGAAATAAACACGATCATTTTGTTTGTTTACAAACTGCTGGACAACGAATGTATTCTCATCGGAGAAAACCAAATTCGACAGTTCACCACTTTCGGCCAAGCGAAGCAACTCTTTAGCGCTTTTAAGTCAGTTTTCTTTCAGCTGCGGTGTAACTTCTTGCACTTTTTGGAATTTCAATGGCTTTACCACGAGCTCATTTTTCAATATTTGCCGAATGAAATATTGCGGTATGTTCAACTCACGAGCCATTTTTCGGCCACTGCGACGCGGATTTCGATCAAGTCGCTTCTTTACCTTTCGAACCATTTCTGCCGATGTTGCTGTTTTCTTCCGTCCACTTCCTTGACGTCGGGCTGCGCTACTAGTATCACGGTAAGGACCGATGGTACAAGACACAAACGATTTATTCAAATTTAAATTCTGGAGTTCTCTAACGATAGCCACTTGTGGTTTTACAGCCAAATATAAGATATCACATTATCACGTTTGAATTAAATCACAAATAACTTTTTTTTCTGAAAAATTCTCAGCAAAATGCTTTTGTACGCTTGTAAACAATATATTGAGCTATCACTGGAATAATTCTAACAGCTGTCGGATGAGTGCGTTAGAAATGACAGCAGTTTTAAGTTGGTTGCAGTTTTTTTTTCATCTCACCCTGTGTTTACCCAGATAAATATAAGTGTAAATGTCTGGTCCAGCTATCCAATACTTTAAGATGATTCCTGAATCCATATTAATAATACTATTGAAAATAAAATTTTAAAATATTGCTATTTGTTGACTGAACCAAATCTTAAAGGACTTATTAAATGGTAGAAGACTGTCAAATTACAATCCTTTCGGACTAGGCATGTGGTCGAAGCATTACATATAGCTGAGAATAGCTATTCTCGCAGTGATATATTCGAGTGTTCCACATTTACGTAAAAGCGCAAAATTTTTAGGAACTCATTTAGCATTTAAATATTAATAAAATCGTGTTTTGAATACTTTCTATTACTTCCTAATTTCTACCGACACACGTCCTTATTTATGGTCTCTTTGATATATACCCATTAATAAGCAACTTTTCCATTTACCGGGTATTTGAAATCTTATCATACCCTACACCACAAGGTGGTCAGGGTATTATGTCTTTGTGCATTTGTTTGTAACAGGCAAAAGGAAACGAGATAGACCCATAGTTCCTTTTGATGATCTGCATAGAATCACATTCTGAGTCGAGTTATGCATGTCCGTCCGTCTGTCCATGTATTTTTGTAAACAAAGTACAGTTCGCATTTATTGCCATATCCAGATGAGTGCACCAAACGTGTAATATCAGCCCGAATTGTATGGAATTTTGCACGTACGATCAGATTGGATCTGAAAATAAGTATGCCAAATTTGATCGAAATCGGTTCAGATATGACTATAGCTCCCATATATATGGTTCATCCGATTTGTTATTTTTGTCCTCCGCAGCCGTAATATGCACTCTGTAACACCAATATTTGGGGAAATATATCAAATACAGCTCAGAAATACATTTGCTAAATTTTATCCAGATCGGTTCAGATTTGGATATAGCTCCCATATATAACTTCGTCCGATTTACCTTTTATTGTGCACCAAACGTCTAATATTTGCCCAAATGGGATGAAATTTGGCACTTACGACCGAATTGAGTCTAGAAGCTAGTATGTAAAATTTGGTGAAAATCGGTTCCGATATAGCTATAGCTCCCATATATACTGTTCATCCGATTTGTCATATTTGTTACCCACAGCCGTAATATGCACTCCGTAACAACGATTTTCAGGGAAATATATCGAATACCCCTCAGAAATATCTTTGCCAAATTTTATCGAGATCGGTTCCGATTTGATATAGCTCCCATATATATCTTTATCCGATTTCAAATTTAATTGTGCACCAAATGGGCAATACAAGTCCGAATTTAAAAGATACAAATGCTTCGGCATATTGAGTCTTTTGAACTTTAAATTATAGTTATAATCATAGCGTGTATGATTGAATTCTCCCATAAAAACTTTTAATTGTTATGTGGAGCTCTACTAAATTAGCAAAGTGGTGTAGGGTATCATAAAGTCGGCCCCGCCCGACTTTAAGGCTTTCTTTACTGGTTTTTTATTATGTCTACCAGATTCATTTTTTCGATTCCTAATGTTGGTACTAAAAAGGACCATCTTATAAGTGTAAGCAAATATACCTTACAAGCTTTTGTAACCTTCACGATACTACTTTTCAACTTGTTAAATGCGACCCCTTACATTTTTGATTTCCTTATTTCCAATTCCACGATTCAACAAACACGACGCTTGCTGGCTTTGATCTTCATGACATTGTTATAGGTTCGGTTTATCGATTTTCAGCATCTGCCAATAATAAGATGTTTTGGTTGTTGTTGCCAGCCACCATTGCAACGACGGTAGCTTAAAGTCAATGAATTCTTTTAAAGGCCTTTTGTAGCGGCAACATCCACGCCATTTCTGGTGGCATCTTTTGCGCTGCATCCATGAATTCATCATTTTAGGCAAAAACATCGATGAACAAAAAAACAAACACAAACCTGTTAACCAAGGTTACACTATTCGTATATAGTAAAAAATGCTGGATCTGATCTTTTGTTTATAGAAAACAAGAAATAAAATAAAACCTGCAATCATAGTTACATCGAATGTTTTGTAGTTTAGCTATTTTGTTTGTTTTATTTTTTTTTTTTTAATTTTTTAAATAAAACCAATGGAAGCCAAGGAATTTTGTTGTGTTTTTTTTTAAGAAAACAAAAGACTTAAGCAACGAACTTGACTTTGAAAAACAATTTTGATGCACCTCAAAACTTATGGGGGCAATGCATTGCGATTACCTTGAATCGTTTGCTTGCCGAGAGAACTAAATGACGAAAAACTTTTGTAAAACAAGATATGTGGGATATTTCTTGGTAGGTGTAGTTTTGTAATTTTCGTCGACATAAAT